TCCGTTACCCCCACTAGACCTAGGTCAACAGCACCACACTCGCCTGCCAGGCCCGGCGCCGCGCAGAAGGCCTGGTTGTCGACGGAGTCGGCGTCGCTGTCGGCATGGACGATCTGCGCCAGGACGGCCTCCTCCGTCGCGCACTTGTCCTTGCTGTGACCCCATCCTGCGCAGTGTGAGCACTGCGGGAGGTAGTCGCTCTCCTTGGTGGTGCAGTCCTGCTGCGTGTGTCCGAAACAGCCACACGTGAAGCACCGGCCCGGGAACTTCTTGTCCCCGGTACCGCCGCCATCTGCCCCACCAGAGCCACTCCCCTTGCTCTCCTCGACGCCGCCACCGCCTTTTCCGCTGCTGTCGCCGCCCCCGCGGCCGCCGCTGCGGCCACCGCCACGACCACGCCAGGACGACCGCCCTCGGCGGCCGCCCCCACGCCACGACGACCGCCCACGGCGGCCGCCTCCATCGGCGAGGTAGGCCTGCTCGGCGCCGCGCGCGCCCTTGTCTTTCCCCGCCTTCACCTTCTCCATGATATTCGATGGTGACCTCCTTCAGGACGTCACTCTTTGTCAACCTCTCCTTGTGTCTGAGGGCGTGCTTGGTCATAGCGTCGGTGGAGAGGGCATCCAAGAAGAGGTGCAAAACGAAGGTTTCGTTAACATCAAGCCCCCGTTTCGAAAGGGACTCTGCGGTGGCGAGCATACTGTTGAGAGCATGTTGCGGATTCTCTGCCATCGGGATCTTCTTGGATGTCAGGGATTTTAACTCATCCGCAGGCTGCATGGACGATTCTGGGTCGTACAACCCCTTCAGCTCACGGAGCGCCCCCAGGGGCGACTCAGCTCGCTTCATTATTGTCCTGTCTTTCTCGTCCTTGAGAGCTCCACGGAGGAAATTCCACGCGTGGAAAGCGAGCTCTACTTTGTCGTGCGGGTAAAACCTGGACAGTTGGACTTTGCTCTGCCCACTGTTTACGGGGATCTCCGTCCCCCCCTCCTCGAAAAGCTCAAGAAGGTTTGCTGTGTTCGCTGCCATCAAAAAATCCTCTAGCCACGAAGAAAAGCTCTTGGCGTCTCCGCTGAACGTGGGCGCTGTGTACTTCACGCTTTGGTATCCCACGCTCGCACTACCGAAGACAGCAGAACCACTTCCCATGGCGCTGCTGAAACAAGCTTGATTGTGAGCAGCGGCTACTCTCACCTCTTGGGGGTCTGAACCCCCTACTTCGCCGCTGTGTCGTCCCGAAGGACCAGACTCTCTTCGCAGGTCCGCTGCCTGCGCGCTCCCGTCGTACTGCACGGTCCCAAAATGACCTGCAGTGCTTGTGGCGACGCTCTCCACGGCGCCGCCGCTTTCAGCGGCGCCCTCCGTGGCACCGCCGGACTTCTCCTCTATACGTGCAGCAAGTCCTCCGACCAGCTGCACCAGCTGGCCCATTTGCTGTGTCAGCGAACTGATCTCAGACCGCATGCTGTCGATCTGCTCGCTGCTATTTGTGTCTCCTGCCTGCGAGCCGTCCGGAGTGGTCCCTCCGGTTCTGCGGCCCGCCATCCCTAATGGACTCCCTCGAGGGAATAAACACTAGTGTGTTGGTATGTCCGTACTTGGGAGGAGAAGACACGCTTTAACTGTCTCTGATTAGGCACCCGCGGGAGCGAGGAAATGAAGGGACGAAGTGGCCCTCCCGAATTCGGGGAAGGGGGCCCACACATAGTAGCCTTTTTCAGGCATACGCATGCTCCTGTCTACGTACCCCCCCGTTCTGCTAGAAGATCTACCATGCTCGTATCCAGACACACGAACAACCTCGACAACAGAGTAGCACAAAGGCGTACGCCCCGTGAACNGACGAAGTGGCCCTCCCGAATTCGGGGAAGGGGGCCCACACATAGTAGCCTTTTTCAGGCATACGCATGCTCCTGTCTACGTACCCCCCCGTTCTGCTAGAAGATCTACCATGCTCGTATCCAGACACACGAACAATGCCACCACCAAATCCATCCACGCCAGCACCGCCGGCACAACAAGCGCCGCCTGACCCGGCCTCCCTGTCACATGACGACGAGAGCCAACCAACAGTCTGGTCAGACACCCTGGCTGGCCCACCGATGTAGGTCTCGCCTCCAAACCCGCCATCACCGCCGGTCGTAGGCCTGTCCCGCACACTCAGACCACCCCTTGCTGCAGGCTTGCCGAAAGCACCGCCGTCAGCAACCCTGCGACGGGAACGCACACCCAAACGGCCGGCCGTGACCATGCCGGCCGCCGCTGCTGTTGCTTCGGCTGCTGCTACTGCTGCTGCTGCTGCTGCTGCTGCTGCTGCTGCTGCTGCTGCTGCTGCTGCTGCTGCTGCTGGCGCTGCCCTGTTGTGCTTCCGCGCTTTGCCAGACACGAGATCGTGGATAGCTCGCACTCCCTTGCGGTCGACATGCTCGACGATAGTCGCCTCGAATGCATCTTCCCCCAAGCCTTGAGGCATCTGGTTGTTCGTGAGAGGCATCCTCACGGCCATCAGAACCTTGGAGTCCGTGATCGGCTCTCCGAGCATCACCGCAACACCTGCTGCCAGCGGGCCCTCGTCATTGCTCTCCAAGTGCATCTCGGGACACTGGTCGGACGTTCCCTTTGCCGGGGTCGCCGCCAACGCGTCCTCCCATTATTGGGATCCTTCTTCCCCGCTCGCCCCAACGCTCGACACCTTCACAAACCCCTCCACCTCTTGCTGCTGCTGGCCCCCGCTCGAACCTGTGCGGGGCTGCAGCGGGCGGGGGCGCTCGCCTCCCCTTGCTTCCGTCGCCGAAGACATCAACGAAGTAGTCTCCTTCTGCAACGACCCTCCCGCGCCCCGCGTCGTCGTCCCTGTCCACATGACCCCGCCAAATCCATCCACGCCAGCACCGCCGGCACCGCCAGCGCCGCCTGACCCGGCCTCCCTGTCACATGACGACGAGAGCCAACCAACAGTCTGATCAGACCCCCCTCGCCGGCCCACCGATGTAGGTCTCGCCTCCAAACCCGCCATCACCGCCGATCGTAGGCCTGTCCCGCCCACCCAGACCACCCCTGGCTGCAGGCTTGCCGAAAGCACCGCCGTCAGCGACCCTGCGACGGGAACGCACACCCGAACGGTCGGCCGTGGCCTTGCGGACCGCCGCTGCGGCTGCTGCTTCTGCCGCTGCCCTGTTGTGCTTCCACGCTTTACCAGATACGAGATCGTGGATAGCTCGCACTCCGTTGCTGCCGCCGTGCTCGGCAATAGTCGCCTCGAACGCATCTTCTCCCGAGGCCTTGCGACTCTGCTTGTTCGTGAGAGGCATCCTCACGGCCATCAGAGCCTTGGAGTCCGTGATCGGCTCTCCGAGCATCACCGCACTACCTGCTGCCGGCGGGCCCTCGTCATCGCTCTCCAAATGCATCTCGGGGCACTGGTCAGGCGTTCCCTCTGCTGGGGTCGCCGCCACCGCGTCCTCCCAGCATTGGGATCCTTCTTCCCCGCTCGCCCCGACGCTCGACACCTTCACAAACCCCTCCACCTCTTGCTGCTGCTGCTGGCCCCCGCTAGAACCTTTGCAGGGCTACAGCGGGCGGGGCCGCTCGCCTCCCCTTGCTCCCGTCGCCGAAGACATCACCGAAGTAGTCCCCTTCGTCCACGGCCCTTCCGCTCCCTGCGTCGTCATCCCTGTTCACATGCCACCGCCAAATCCATCCACGCCAGCACCGTCGGCACAACAAGCGCCGCCTGACCCGGCCTCCCTGTCACATGACGACGAGAGCCAACCAACAGTCTGGTCAGACTACCTGGCTGGCCTACCGATGTAGGTCTCGCCTCCAAACCCGCCATCTCGCCGGTTGTAGGCCCGTCCCGCCCACTCAGACCACCCCATGCCGCAGGCTTGCCGAAAGCACCGCCGTCAGCCACCCTGCGACGGGAACGCACACCCGACCCGCCGGCCGCGGCCGTGCCGACCGCCGCTGCTGCTGCCGCTTCTGCCGCTGCCCTGTTGTGCTTCCGAGCATTACCAGACACGAAATCGTGGATAGCTCGCACTCCGTTGGCGTCGACGTGCTCGGCGATGGTCGCCTCGAACGCATCTTCCCCCAAGGCCTTGCGGCATCTGGTTGTTCGAGAGAGGTATTGTGGGCGTGTCTAGTTCGCTCGTGACATGCCCACATCGCCGAGCACGTCGACCGCAAGGGAGTGCGAGCTATCCACGATCTCGTGTCCGGCAAAGCCCGGAAGCACAACAGGGCAGCGGCATCAGGAGCGGCAGCAGCGGCGGTCGGCAAGGCCACGGCCGGCCGTTCGGGTGTGTGTTCCCGTCGCAGGGTGGCTGACGGCCGTGCGTTCGGCAAGCCTGCAGCAAGGGGTGGTCTGGGTGGGCGGGACGGGCCTACGACCGGCGGTGATGGCGGGTTTGGAGGCGAGACCTATATCGGTGGGCCGGCGAGGGTGTCTGACAAGACTGTTGGTTGGCTNCTACGACCGGCGGTGATGGCGGGTTTGGAGGCGAGACCTACATCGGTGGACGGGGTCAACCTGTCTGACGAGACTGTTGGTTGGCTCTCGTCGTCATGTGACAGGGAGGCCGGGTCAGGCGACGCGGGCGGTGCTGGCGTGGATGGATTTGGCGGTGGCATGTGGACAGGGACGACGACACAGGGCGCGGGAGGGCCGTGGACGAAGGAGACTACTTCGGTGATGTCTTCGGCGGCGAAAGCAAGGGGAGGCGAGCGCCCCCGCCCGCTGCAGACCCGTAAAGGTTCGAGCGGGGAGAAGCAGCAGCACCAACAGGAGTAGGGGGATGTGACGGTGTCGAGCGTCGGGGCGAGCGGGGAAGAAGGATCCCCATGCCAGGAGAACGCGTTGGCAGCGACCCCGGCAAAAGGAACGTCCGACCAGAGTTCCGAGATGCACTTGGAGAGCGACGACGAGAGCCCGCCGGCAGCAGGTAGTGCGGTGATGCTCGGAGAGCCGATCACGGACTCCAAGGTTCTGAAGGCCGTGAGCATGCATCTCACGAACAAGCAGATGCCGCAACACCTTGGCGGAAGATGCGTTCGAGGCGACTATCGCCGAGCACGTCGACCGCAACGGAGTGCGAGCTATCCACGATCTCGTGTCTGGTATAGGGCGGAAGCACATCAGGTCAGAGGCAGAAGCAACAGCAGCAGCAGCGGCGGTCGGCAAGGACACGGCCGGCCGTTCGGGTGTGCGTTCCCGTCGCAGGGAGGATGACGGCGGTGCTTTCGGCAAGCCTGCAGCAAAGGGTGGTCTGGGTGGGCGGGACGGGCCTACGACCGGCGGTGATGGCGGGTTTGGAGGCGAGACCTATATCGGTGGGCCGGCGAGGGTGTCTGACAAGACTGTTGGTTGGCTCTCGTCGTCATGTGACAGGGAGGCCGGGTCAGGCGGCGCTGGCGGTGCTGGCGGTGCTGGCGTGGATGGATTTGGCCCCGCCTCCAACCCGCCGTCACCGTCGGTCGTAGGCCCGTCCCGCACACCCACACCACCCCATGCTGCAGGCTTGCCGAAAGCACCGACGTCAGCCACCCTGCGACGGGAACGCACACCCGAACGGCCGGCCGTAGCCGTGCCGACCGCCGCCGCTGCTGCTACTGCTCCCGCTACCCCGTTGTTCTCCCGCGCTTTACCCGACACGAGATCGTGGATAGCCCCCGCTCCCTTGCGGTCGACGTGCTCGGCGATAGTCGCGTCGAACGCATCTTCCCCCACGGCCTTGCGACTCTGCTTGTTCGTGAGAGGTATCCTCACGGCCATCAGAACCTTGGAGTCCGTATCGGCTGTCCGAGCATCACCGCAACACCTGCTGCCGGCGGGCCCCCGTCATCGCTCTCCAAGGGCATCTCGGGACACTGGTCGGGCGTTCCCTGTGCTGGGGTCGCCGCCAACGCGTCCTCCCAGCATCGCGATCCTTCTTACCCGCTCGCCCCGACGCTCGACACCTTCACCAACCCCTCCTCCTGTTACTTCTGCCGCTGGCCCCCGCTAGAACCTTCACGGGTCTGCAGCGGGCGGGGCCGCTCGCCTCCCCTTGCTCCGTCGCCGAAGACATCACCGAAGCAGTCTCCTTCTTCCACGGCCCTTCCGCGTCCCGCGTCGTCGTCCCGGTCCACATGCCACCGCCAAATCCATCCACGCCAGTACCGCCAGCACCGCCAGCGCCGCCTGACCCGGCCTCCCTGTCACATGACGACGAGAGCCAACCAACAGTCTTGTCAGACACCCTCGCCGGCCCACCGATATAGGTCTCGCCTCCAAACCCGCCATCACCGCCGGTCGTAGGCCCGTCCCGCCCACCCAGACCACCCTTTGCTGCAGGCTTGCCGAAAGCACCGCCGTCATCCTCCCTGCGACGGGAACGCACACCCGAACGGCCGGCCGTGGCCTTGCCGACCGCCGCTGCTGCTGCTGCTGCTTCTGCCTCTGACCTGATGTGCTTCCGCCCTATACCGGTCACGAGATCGTGGATAGCTCGCACTCCGTTGCGGTCGACGTGCTCGGCGATAGTCGCCTCCAACGCATCTTCCCCCACGGCCTTGCGGCATCTGGTTGTTCGAGAGAGGTATTGTGGGCGTGTCTAGTTCGCTCGTGACATGCCCACAATACCTCTCACGAACAAGCAGATGCCGCAACACCTTGGCGGAAGATGCGTTCGAGGCGACTATCGCCGAGCACGTCGACCGCAACGGAGTGCGAGCTATCCAGGATCTCGTGACCGGTATAGGGCGGAAGCACATCAGGTCAGAGGCAGAAGCAGCAGCAGCAGCAGCGGCGGTCGGCACGGCCGCGGTCGGCCGTTCGGGTGTGCGTTCCCGTCGCAGGGAGGATGACGGCGGTGCTTTCGGCAAGCCTGCAGCAAAGGGTGGTCTGGGTGGGCGGGACGGGCCTACGACCGGCGGTGATGGCGGGTTTGGAGGCGAGACCTATATCGGTGGGCCGGCGAGGGTGTCTGACAAGACTGTTGGTTGGCTCTCGTCGTCATGTGACAGGGAGGCCGGGTCAGGCGGCGCTGGCGGTGCTGGCGGTGCTGGCGTGGATGGATTTGGCCCCGCCTCCAACCCGCCGTCACCGTCGGTCGTAGGCCCGTCCCGCCCACCCACACCACCCCATGCTGCAGGCTTGCCGAAAGCACCGCCGTCAGCCACCCTGCGACGGGAACGCATCCCGACCGGCCGGCCGCGGCCGTGCCGACCGCCGCTGCTGCTGCTGCTGCTTCTGCCGCTGCCCTGTTGTGCTTCCGTGCTTCACCAGACACGAGATCGTGGATAGCTCGCACTCCNCCAAATCCATCCACGCCAGTACCGCCAGCACCGCCAGCGCCGCCTGACCCGGCCTCCGTGTCACATGACGACGAGAGCCAACGAACAGTCTGGTCAGACAGACTGGCCGGCCCACCGGTGTAGGTCTCGCCTCCAAACACGCCATCACCGCCGGTCGTAGGCCCGTCCCGCCCACCCACACCACCCCATGCTGCAGGCTTGCCGAAAGCACCGCCGTCAGCCACCCTGCGACGGGAACGCACACCCGACCCGCCGGCCGCGGCCGTGCCGACCGCCGCTGCTGCTGCCGCT